CCTTCTGTGCCAGGATTACTGCATTTACAACTCTTTTTTGTACATAGAACATTTGGGCTCTATGGCCCATGGCCAGTGAGGCTGATTGTGGTTGCCTTGCGTGTTCTTTGCGATTCCAGTACCATTACAAGCTTCCTGAGGGCAGGACCCAGCCTTTGGACCTAGTTTCTTCTCCAGAACAGAACACATGCCAATATCTCCAAATATACTGGGTATAAATTTATCCATGAATGACTTAGTAAAACTACCCTGCTGTTAACAGAGAACATTCTCTGAGTACCAAGAATATGGAGTGGCAGCCAGTATTTGTTTTTATCTTTGGGGAACACCAATGCCACATGCTTTGTGTGGACAGTCAGTACGGCATAGACTCATGAAGCAGTTAGCTGACAGGTACTGCCCAGAATCAGATGGCAAATTCAGAGAAGAGGCTTTGCTTTCCATTGGAATGAGCAGGCATTGCTATTGCTATTCTGGGTCAGTGTAAATAATAGCTATAAATGAAGCTCAGTCATAAAGCTGATTGTTCAAGCCTCCAGGGAAACGGTTATTGTCTTCCCTCATTAGAACCTCAGCATGGCCTGATGTGACCATTTTCCTGTTCATATCCAGAAACGTAACCTTTAGCTTTTTGTTTTTTTAAACAGAAAACATGTGGGTTAATTATTTTGCTACAATCAGTAGGTATCAATTTTCTCATTGCAATTTTCAGGATAATAGAAACTTATTTTTTTCTCACTATGAAAGATCATAACAAAATGGGCAAATGGCAGCAGTCCCAGAAGGGGTAGTGCCAGCCCAAGATCAAGACATAAACACCAAGTTGGGAGGCCTTCTGAGGTGACCCTACTCATTGCTTTCATTTATTGAGATTTTGGTTTTGTAGTAAATATGCATGAAGGATGTCATGACTCTATATTTTTGGAGATGTTCTTAAAATGCCCTCCTTTGCTCTTGAATGAAGAGTGGTTATAATTTTGTGGTGCTGGTGGTAATCATTTGCATGGCTTAAGTTTTCTTTAACTTTTTATTTGGAATAAATTCAAACATAAAAATACAGCAAAGAATACTCTTACAGCCTATATACAGGTTTATCTATTGTTGACATTTTGCCTTAATTGTTTTATCTATCTGCCTGTCTATATAAATTTTATTCTGATCAAATTGAGAGTAAGTTTCATGTCATGTTCATTTATCCTTAAATACTTCACTGTCCATTTCCTAGGAATTAGGATATTCTATTTTATGAGCACAGTTATCAACCATAATAAGTTTAACTGTGACTCATACTTTTATCCAGTTTATGGTCTATATTTCAATGATCATTAACCCAATAATGTCCTTTTTAGCACTTCTTCCTCTAGTACAGTCCTGTCTAGGCATGCATTTAGTTGTCTCTTTTCATCACAAACAGTTGCTCAGCCTTTCTTTGGCTTTTATGACACAGATATTTTTGGAGAATATAATTTCTTCCCCCTTTTTAAATTAAAATGTTCCTCATTTGGTGTACATTCCATGTTTTCCCCAGCTAGATTCATGTTATTTGTTCTCCACTGGATGTATGACTTTTCAAAGAGGCTTGATCACATATATAGCAATCTAATGGGTCAAATAGTCACAAATAGGATATTTTTGTGAGCTGTGTGCCACCAGCCTGAGTTATGGGCTCAGCCTGCCAGTGACTCACTGTTCCATCCTGAGCTAGTTACCCTTCTGGACCTCAATTTCCTCACAAAAGAAGGGATTGAGTTAGATGGCCTTTAATAGCCCTCTGGATGAGACCATTCACGAATTTTTATGAATCTATGATAATGCTTGCATTCAAAGGCAGTTAATACTCTTACTAAAAGTGAAAACAAGGATTTCCCTGGTGGTCCAGTGGTTAATATTCCATGCTTCCAATGCAGGGGGCCCGGGTTCGATCCCTGGTCAGGGAACTAGATCCTGCATACCACAACTAAGAGCCCACATGTGCAATGAAGATCCTGCATGCTGCAACTAAGACCTGGCACAGCCAAATATATATATATATATATATATATATATATATATATATATATACATATATGAAAATAATAGTAGCAACTTTCTTAGCTCTCTAGATCTTTGGAAAGCTTGGTCTGGATTTGATAGCAAAGCTGAAACTTTAAACTAGAAAAGTCCATTGTATCTTGGTTAGTGAGGGGGAAGATTATGTCTTGGCCTGGGCACAAAATGCAGTTTATTTCATGCAGATAAACTGACACATTGACACCAAAGTTTCAAGATGCTCACATATTTCAAACCATATACCTAGGATCTAAAGCCTTCTTTCTGGCTGATAACAAGATTCCTGTAATAACATCCATTTAGGGTATTTTCCAAATACCCAAAGGCATGCATGACTTTAAGGAACACATGTGCATTTCATTGCAGTAACCCACTTTTGTGCTTAATTAAATTCCTTTTGGTAGATGTGGCGTTTTGAATTTGATACAGTATTATCGCATCATATTACCAATACACCTCTCTGGCTCCTGCCCTGGACACCCCGAATATAAAGCACTCTGAAGCAGAAAGAAGTCTGTGGAGCTGCTAAAAGGCAGGCTGAGCATCCCCTAGGGCAGCTCCCAAAGATTGAGGAAGAGGAACATGAGTGCTCACAGGAGGCACAGACTCATGGTGCCTTGGAAGGCTGCTCAAGTACCCCTTGCCCAACTGGGGAGCTGCTTTTTCAGTACTAACAAGTGATGAGCCCCTTTCCCACATTTGTGTTTAGACAGTCAATTGGGGTCTCAGACATTTGTGTTGGAAGCAGTGTTCACGCAAGACTGTAGAGTTGTGTGGCAGTTTCCAAAGCATTTGTGTTTGTATTCCATGGGAGGCAGCCTGGAGGAAGGAATGCAGCAGGGAACAACTTAGGAGATAAAGAAACTGTGTACAAAATATGACTTTAACAGTTCCTAATAATATGACCTTAAACAAGTTACTTAGCCTCTTTGAGCCTCCTTAGTCTGCAAAATGGTCTTTACAGTGTCTGCTGTCCCTGTGCGGATTCAAGAAGATATAGGTATGTAAGCTGCCTGCTAGGCACAGAATTGACACTCAACATATATTTCTTTCTCTTTTTTCCCTTTCTTTTGAAGTAGGTAGGCAAAACAAATATTGCCAATCCTGTTTTATGTAGGGGAAACTGGAGGCTCATAGAATTTTAAAAATTTTTTATTTATTTATTTTTGGCTGCTTTGTGTCTTAGTTGCTGCGCACGGGTTTTCTCTAGTTGCAGCAAGCGGAGGCTACTCTTCGTGGTGGTGTGTGGGCTTCTCATTGGGGTGGCTTCTCTTGTGGTGGAGCATGGGCTCTAGAGTGCAGGCTCAGTAGTTGTGGTGCACGGGCTTAGTTTCTCCAAGGCATGTGGGATCTTCCCGGACCAAGGCTTGAACCCGTGTCCCCTGCATTGGCAGGCGGGTTCTTAACCACTGCACCACCAGGGAAGCCCCTCATAGAGTATTAAAGTCAGTCAACTGTTAAGGTCCCAGGATGGACTTGAACTTGTGATTTTTGGCTAGTCCATTACTATTTATCTCCCTTGCAAAGCTGTCTCCTGGAAGTTGATTACATCACTGAGCCAGTTTCAATAAGAATTGTGGCAAGTTGCTTTTTAACAAACTTAAAATATTTTTTACAACAGTTTTAGATTTACAGAGAAGTTGCAAAAATGACAGAGTTCCTGTAAACTCTTCATCCAGTTTCCCTGATTGTTAACGTCTTACATCACTGTGGTACACTTGTCACAACTAAGAAACCAACACCAGTACATTACTATTAGCCATTAATTACTATATTAACTAAGCTCTACACTTTATTTGGATTTCACTAGCTTTTCCCTAATATCCTTGTTCTGTCCCAGGATCCCATGTCATATTTAGTTGTCAGACTTTCATTGTTTTTGATGACCTTGACAGTTTGAGGAGTACTGGTTAGGTAGAATGCCCCTCATTTGAGTTTGACTGATGTTTGCTCGTGGTTAGACTGGGGTTATGGGTTTTGGGGAGGAAATGTTTTCTGCTCTGAAAACATTTTTATTTTTCATCTTTATTACCCTCAACTGGGATCAACCTTGTGATTTTTATCTTACCATGCTCAGAACCCAACTCTAAGGTAAAACCCCTTGTGACCAGCCTTGGACTGCTCAAATCTTTCACATACTATTTAATTACATCTATGGGTTGACTCTCCATTTGTTTTACATGCATTTAGTTACCAGATTGCTCCAGATGGAATATTCTTTAATAATTACCTTATTGAAATACCAAAAAGTGACTCAAATAAAATTTATGAATTATTTATAGGATTTAAAAGTAAGTTCCATTTTCCCATCAGGTTCAGACATTCTCTTCTCTGCGCAGTCTTCCTTGATCTTCCTGTTTCTTTTTCTTGATATTTTAGACCTTTCTGGTAACATGTTAACTATAGTGTCTATAGGATGCATTCCTAGGTTAAAAACAATATGCATATGATAAATACCTGGATAAGTCAGCATTGCCTATTTGGTGTGTCTTGTCATCCAGATGTATCCCAAACCCATCTCAGATTGTTATGTCAACTTTTGATCAGTGTGTGCATTTAATTTTGTTTCAACTGAGAATATATATGCTTCAGAAAAGTAGTACAGAGAAAAATCAAACAGCATCAAAGTGTGGCTTTGTGTTGGTTGGAACACATGTAGTGCTTTGCCTAATGAATGTATAGAAAGGACAATTAGTAAAAATCCTCAAGGAGTGCTAAAGAGTGATCAGGTGAAAGACACAATAACAATTGAGGTAATTCAATTCCAGCTGGGTGCCATCAAAGTTTGTCACAAAATGTATTTGTGTAAAACCTCTAAAAGTTAGTGTGGATAATAGTTGTTCTAATGAAGGGCAAGTTTCTTAAGAGCAGATATCGAATAATCTATCTTTGTACTCCTCATAGCACTTAGCCCACTGCTTTGAACAGAGTAAGTGTTCATTTGATGAGTATTTTTTTTTTGAGAAATTAATGTATTTTATTTTAAGTAACAGAAGTAGAGTCAAGCATTACAAAAAAGTTTAACATCTACAGAGACATAAGGTTATTAGTGAACTGGCGTGAGGGCCTCATATAGTCTCTGGGCTGCCAGTTCCACCATTTCTCGGAGGGACTCATCATCTTCACTTCCTTCTTCACATTCTACAGTCCGTGTCTCCAAGTTTATGTTAGCAGTTTTTCCGTCCACTGTGACGCTAAGGATAGAACCATCTTTTACACTAACACAGTCTTCTCCAAATATGTCCTGGAGCATGATCTCCAACCTCTTGCTATAAATGTGCATTTCTAATTTTTTAGAAACCTTCTGTACTGCACCTTTCCTTATTTTCGGGTTTGACTGGACTTCTAATATCACGGTTGTTACTGTATCTGCATACATATCATTGGAAGGGTTTGCCAGCCATTCTAATACCACCATTCCTGGTTCCTGTATTACAGTAATATTTTTGAACACTTTCAAAGCAGGTTTTTCTTGAATTTCTAATTCTTCTACATCACCTGTCAATTTCTGTAGCTGGTAATAAAGCAAATTAAAAGGACCAGTATATGGAATGGCTTGGGTCTGCTTTACCGTGCTCATGGCCAAGTCAGTATAATTAGAGAGGTCACAAGGAGAAAGTATATGATAATTAAAGTTTCTTTTAACAAGTATTCCTGAGACCTGCTGGCCCTGTTCTGGTTTTTTGTCTGCTAAAAAGCCCATGACCTTGGCTAGTTTTTCCCCCCTGAAGTTCAAGGTCACTGCTTCTGTATGCCGAGGATTATGAACCTCTATGTGAACTTCATCATTATCTTCATATTCTCGAATCAGGGCTGCTTTCAATCTGGCCATTTCATTTTGTTCTCCATGGACTAAAATCACGTGAGGCGGTTTCAAAGCACGAATAAATTCACTGGTTTGCTGGTAATCTGTGTGAGCAGAGAAAGAAATGTAATCAACAGACATTATCAGTGGTAGCTTCTGTCCGGACATGGTAGTGATTTCTTCAGGTTCAGACATGATATGCTTGGCAAGCGTCCCTTCTACACAGTATCCCGCTATAATGACGCCATTCCTCTTATCAGTACACCAGCTTTCGAAGAGCTCTCTGGATAAGCCACTCTGCATCATGCCTGGGGAGGCCATTACAACACTGGGACCAATGTCATCAAAATGATCCATGCTCTTAAGGTTACTAATATGTTTGAAAACAAAGGGATTGTTGATGTTGATCTGTTTGCGGATTTTGTCATTCATGGCGTTTACATATGTCTGGTACACCGCCATACACTTCTTGGCCAAAGACGATGCATAGTATATGGGAATATCATGGAGTTCTGGGTGATTCTGCCAGTACTCATCTAAAATCAAGAGAAGCTCCTGAGCCCTTCCAAGAGCAAAGACAGGAATGAGACCTCTGCCCCCTCGGTTCACAATATCGTGAACAGTGTTACAGAACCTTGCCTCTCGCTCTTCTCGCTTCTCATGGATATGGGTTCCGTAAGTAGATTCAATGATAAGAATATCAGGTTTAATATTAGGAATTTCAGCTGCCATTAAGTGTCTGTCTTCTTGTCTTGAGAAATCACCTGTGTACAAAAGCTAACTTTGACATAATCTGAAAGAAGCCATCTATAAATAGCTTTTGTGGCATGAGTCATAAATGTTCTTCCTTTGAAACTTGTCTTCTGTGGAAACCAGGGCAAAGCTCCACAGTGATCCAAATGGAAATGACTAATTAGCAGGAGATCAATCTCAGCTGGGTCAATTAAATCGATGTAAGGAAGAGCATCCATTCCTTCTAGGCCTGGGTGGATCCCACAGTCCAACATTATTTTTCTTCCTTTGAATTCCAGAATAATACAAGATCTTCCCACTTCTTGCCCAGCTCCACGTGAGCTTTACTCTGCACAGTTAAGTACTGCTATACTATTTCCACAGGAGGACATGGGTTCAGTGAGGTTGCTGTCCTAGCAATCGATAGTGTACAGATAGGACTTCAGGTCTGACTCCAAAGTGATAGTCTGCTATTCCTCCAAACTATCTTTCCGGTACTTTTCATGCGGCGCTGCAGCTCCCTCCAAAACGGTGAATCCAGTTAACTCAGCCCTCCGTCTTATTTGTATCCCTAGTGTCCAGTGTGGCCTTGACACTTGCTCAGTGTTTGCTGAGCACAGTAAGAGAGGACAGGTGTGAACTGAGCAGCGGCAAACTTGGGGCACGTCCCCAGCAGGTGCTCAAGGAGTCCTTACTAAATGAACATGTAAAGGAAATATTTCTGCCTTTTGAAAAAGGCACGTGTTCATGTGGTGCTGACTCATTTCTAACAGTGAGCATGTTTGTGGATTCTAGCTGCTCACTTACAGAATAAGTTCCTCCACATTTATATTTCCCTTTCTAAGCAGCATTCCAGATCTGTAAGGTGCTTCTCTGACAGAAGGCCATTTCCAGTGAAAGGCCAGCCCTCTCCTGGTCAGTCAGGGGCTGAGATTTTGTCCTTAACACCTCGGCTTTTTCTTCCCTCCTTATTCTCCCAGAGTTGGAGCTCTGAATGGAGCTCACAGCGAGTCCCTAATTTACTTCCTTTCCCATCTTGGCAAATACCAAGTTCTGGAGGTAACAGGTTAGTTCTTCCTCGCACTGCCACAGCCTTATCCAGGTCCTCCTCTCATCCTGCCATGCTCGGCGTCACCGGTTCCCTCAGAGCCTGCCACTCTTTGGCGAACAAGAAAGCGCCCAGCGGCCCCACAGACCTTCTTTCCCGGCCCCCAACTCCACATACTCTCCTCCCTTGGAAAAAGCAAAATCCCATGAAACCGAGCAGGCCCCTTCCTATCCACAGTTCTCCAAAGCCCTGCATCCGGAGGCCTGGCCCGCAACTGCGGACCAAGGGACCAAGGGCCGACTGAAGAGCCCAACCACCCGGGTACCCTCCTCGCCTCACAACCCGTGGCTTCATTCCCTCTCGCTGGTCCCTTACAGGGGTCGGATCAGCAGCTGGTCACTCTCTTCTGCGGGAATCGCAGACATCTGCAAACGGGGACGAGGAACAGGTTGCGGGAGGCTTTCTAAATTGGAAGAGCAGCCACAGGGAACCCACAAGGATGGTCGCCGTCCACCGAGAGCACAACTTCCGGCGCCCGGGCGTCAGCCACCCTAGGCTCCTCCCTCCAACTTCCGGTTGTAGAACAAGGGGTCGGTCCGGGCACCCGGGGCGGGGTCAGGGCTGCGCCTGCGCGAGGCTTCGGAGGCGAGGCCCGGTGGGCGGTGCCACGGGCCTCGAAAAGCGGGCGCTGGCTTTTGACACGGAGTGGCTGCCGCGGCTCGGGCTGCCTAGGCTGTGGGTGTCTGACCCCGACCGCAGTCGGCGTTGAGGTGAGAGCCCGGCCCTCGCCGCGCTTGGGCTGAGCCTGGCCGGGAACGCGGGTCCCGAGGGCGGCTCCGGTGGGGAGGCTCGCGGCGGGGCGGATGGGTGGGGCCGCGGGGGCCACGGTCTCCACCGGGACCCGCCTTCCCTGGGTGGGGGACCCAGGCCCCGAGGCGGCGCGGGGCCGGCGGCGGGAGCCGAGGAGCGGGCCCGGGCCTGCGGGAGGAGGCAGTGCCCCGGTGCCGATTCCTGTCGGGTGGGACTGCAGCTCCGGTGACGACGGGTGTGGCGTGTGTCTGGGTCCGGTCGGAAGGGTGATGGAGTGAGAGCATCCACGGGGCTGCTCCCCACGTTCCTCATGTCAGGCTCTGATTTGAGGGGCGATGGAGACCGTTCACTTTTTGTGCGGGATCCTGTTGGTTCCTCCACGCGTCGTGGCTGTTTCCCCGCAGCGCGGGTCCGGGGTTGCGTCTGTTTTGTTTACTGTCACCGGCACGTGGCAGGCGCTCCCGACCTGATGAGTATTTTTATAGAATCATTATTTTGCCAGGCACTGTGCTAATTACTGAGGTGATAAGTAAGTATAGGACATAGTCTTCTGACTTGAAGAGCTCACAGTCCAGTGAGGTACATGGATAAGTGATCAGATAACTACATTTCAGTGTGACCAGTGCTCTAATGAAAGAAGGGCATGGCTAGGTCTACCTGGAAAGGTCTCGATGATTTTCGGGGGATGGGGCCTCTATACTGGGTCTTGAAGTACAATTAAGAGATCATGAGGCACAGAAAAGGCACAAGAGTAATATTTGAAAAGTAACAGGCTGTCTTGTTGAGAAATAAATCATCAAATGTTGGAGAAGAGGCAATCTAGTGTGAGGTGGAAAAGATCAGGCTCGTAGGTTGGGGCCAGATTTTCAAGCACTTGTCTACCTACCATGCTGATGAGTTGGTACTTCATTCAAAAAGTAACATTCAAAGGTTTTACGCAGGGGAGTGACATGATGAGATTTATATTCTAGAAGTATCACTCTGAGATGATGCTATGGAGGTGGGAGGAAGCAGGGAAACTGGTTAAGAGACTCTTGCAACAGTTCACCCAAGACGTGAAGTGGGTGTGAATTTACCGTAAACCAATGTCTGTTGCATCTACTTACTGTCTCATTTGCTTGGTAAAACACTTAGCTCATGTTATGCATCATAAATACAATCAAACTATACAGTTCTGAATGAAAAATCATCCCACTTTCTTAGATCAATATAGAAGCAATTAAGTGAGAGCAATAAGGAAGTGTTTACTTGAGATGCAAACCAGGGGAGTGCCCAGGAAATGAGGTAGTGTGTGATACTCACCTCACACTCTGGAATCCAGACTCCAGCCCTCTGGTGTAGCAAGAACTGGTGCCCGTCAGAAGCACAGATTTATATTTGCATTTCCCCTTCCTTTGCTTCCTGATCCCCATTGTTCTTGTTGATTCTGTTGTCTACAACATGCATGGATGCAAAGAGCTAACCCGAGGAATTATCTAATAATGTGGTCATGCTTTTAGCCATCTGTATTTACCTTATTTGACACAACGTCAGGGTACAGGGACAAAGAGAGATCGTTATATTACTGGTTTCAATGTTAAATCCTGTCAGAAACTGTTCAGTTATACTTCATAGAAAGAAAAATGTATTTGATGAACAATGGAGTCAAGTTAAAATGAGAAAAAGAGCATGTTCTGTTCCTTGGTAAATTTTCCTTTGCCAAGTGTAAAAGTCCCACAGTTTTCAGGGCATATACAAGGCTAAGGGCTAAAAGGACCAAGAGCTGCGCACAAGACCACCCAGGGTAGACAAAATTCATGGAGTTGATGGGGGTCAGAAGGTGGTATGGTGGGTAATTGTGGAACATGATTTAAAGAACACTTGAAACTAGCTCTTTTGAGTTGAACAACTTTATGACTGATGATTACATGTCCTCTCTATATGTGGTAGTGAGAGGAACAAGCAAGAGGCATCAAAGCAGAGCAGAGAGGTCCCTGACTGAGGTGGGACATCAGAGTTCAGGTCCAGCTGCTAACCCTAACCCCTGTGAGACCTTGGCAAAGTCACTTCAGCTATCCGGGGGTTATTTTCTTTATCAGTAAAATGAGAGGGTTGAGTTAGATCATCTCTAAGTTACCTTTTGCTCTGACAAACCTTTCACTCCGTGATGCCTAATCTGTGAAGAGTTACTAACAGCCAGTATGTAGTAGTGAGGTCCCTGTTTCTTTCTCGTGAAACAGGAGGGATACCACCTACCTCACCAAGATGGCTTGAGGATCACATTTAAAATGAGATCATAAGTGAAAGTGATTACTACCAAACCTGTTAAATAGTACTTTTAAGTAAATTGGAGTGTCCTTTGTTAGGTCTCCCATTCATTAAAAATGTTTATTGAGCACCTACTATGTGCCAGACATTGCTCTAGGAGCTGGGTACATAATAATGAATAAAATAGATGAATTTACTGCCTCCATGGAGCTTTTAGTAAACAGACTGATGAATATATGCTATCACAGCATTTCTTCCCTTCCTTCCTCCCTGGCTCCCACTTCTCACCTCCTCTTTCTTTAACCCATTTGCTCTCAGCTCCTGTTGCAGATCCTGGCTGGCTAGACTCTAGCCCCAGGAGTTATAGATCTGAGGTCAGGACTGGTGTGTGAAACTCAGTGTTTTCACTTGATGGTCAAGGCTTGGGAAAGTGTGTGGACAAATGAGCATGAATTGCGACAAGAGTAGGAACAGAGTTAACCAAAGTAAGTGGACACTGGGACTGTACTTTAGGATTCCCTGCATCTAAGAATGTTGACAACACTACACTGGTTAGTTCTTTAGATGAAACACCTGGAAAGCCATACATACAGAAGAGTGTATAAAGAAAACCAAAACATTTATGACTCTACAATCAACCTACATTTACTCAACATCATCTGGGGCAGGCTGAGCAATGCGTTGGCTTCCCGGTGGTGAATAATACTTAATTTCTTCCTTCAAGGAGCTCACTTTTCCTGAGAGAGGCAGACATGAATCTCAATATATTGTGCTAAATACTTTTTAAAGATGTGTATATCCAAGGAGGTACACAACGTAAAGCAAAATATTTTGACTTTATCATTTTGACATTACCATTTTAATCCTGCTGATGTAAAATTAAAAGTTCTTATGAAATTGAACAACCTCTAAAAGCATGGACTTTATTTTTAGGTAATGAAATCACAACTAAATATTGCAGGTAAGGAGAGTGAACATAAAGTAATATTGATAACAACAAATATATGTAAACTTATTGATTAAAATTTGACAAACAGATTATATTATCTTAAAGAGATTTTTATCCACAAAATTTATCCAGATTTTTAAAAAAATAGACTCAGTAGAGAAAACCTCACAACAACAACAACAAATCAGAGTGCAGAAGGTATAATTTGAAAATTTTAACACTGGTGGAAAAAAACTGATAAATTAGAAAAATGTCTTTATTGTGATATATATAGAAAAGTC